ATATATGGGGCAGAAGGCGCCTCCTAGTGGTCTAACCCTAACCCTACCCCAGACCCCAAACCTACCCATACTCTGTGTGTGTTATATTGATGCTAAACGGTGCCATGTGCGTTGGATGTATACGCATTGGCAAAAGCGGTAGTATTATTGCGTTGATCATTACATTAGAGGTCGACTAATATACCGCTTTTACAGATTAATGGCACAGATTGTCACTTTGTTGAACTATCAGTTAGCCCTCTTTAGATTCACTGAGCTTTTTTGAGACATAACTATGATCATCCAACGAACTTTTGATTATCCGATTATTTGCTTCAGAAGTCAGTAGTTAGGAAGCGGTCCATTTTAGACATTCTACTAAATATATGATACTTTGAAACTACATGTCAACTAACTCTCATTAGAGTATTAGTAGATCAACATGACATCATGACTTTTGCGTAAACATACATACCACTTTCGAGTCAAGTGGCGGGCTATCTCTACGCATTTTGAGCTATCCGCGTGTATCCGTGTATGTCTACGCCAACGTCCGAGTGATTCCGCGTGTCTGTACATGCCGTCAAATGTCCGCCGAAACGAAGCAAAATGTAGATCTACATCTGGGGAGCGATCTTTTTTTTTCCTAGGATGGTAAGGGAACAGTCACAAATGCCATTAACCCCAGTGACAGTTAGGTTTAGGGACGGAGTTGAGGTAGGGTCATATATTTATATATACAGTGATAACGTTAAGTCAACGGCGTTCATAAACACACTGAAAAGCGATTATGCGTCTTGAAAGCACGCCAAAAATGGAAATACGAATTGCCGTGTCATACACACGCTACTTCATGAGATCAGTGTGAGTAGATTGTTAATTTAGAGTTAGGGTTAGTAAAATAAGTTGACACTTGCAAAGCTACTTATGGTCAGTACAATGTATTGGGAATCAAAATAAATTGTTAGCAGATAATAAGCAGAGAGTCTACTTATATTCTAATGACTGGTATTTGACATTTTACTAGTTAGCAGAATATCTAAAGTGGACTATCAAAATCTTTTGAAATTTTACTTTATTTTTAGTCATTTTTTATTTTCTCATACAGTTAATCTCATTAAAGTTTTAATTGATATTACTGATTTTAAAACCATCTGTGATCAAAAACAATCTGCCATATGTTCTAATTTTACTTATTAAAATAGGCAACTCTTGGTTAACCTTTAAAGAAATGTATTTTGCAATAAGATATCTAGCTATCATGATATTAATTAAGGTAAGGGGAAAATCTCATAACATATAACCTGTAATAAACCATATAAATTAACCATTTTAAAATACATCAAGAGTAAATACGACAATAAACACTATCATTATAAATTGTCATATAAAGAGGATTATTTTATAGAATGTCCCCCAATGTGATGTTACAGTGCTTTCAGGCCTGATATTCCACTACTGCTAAAGGAATTGAGTGTGCATGTGTGCTGTGACTGGACTAGGAGCCTTCCATAGATGAACACACACACACACACGCACACACACACACACAAACACACTCAATCCAGCATCCATCCCTCTCAGGGACACCACAGGAAATAGAATCAAATAACGGTGACCAGAAAGAATCGCAATTTGCCACATCATATTTTCTGGTTGAGAGAACTCTCTTCTTTTCATGTCTGTCTCTCATTTATCTCACTCACTCACTCACTCACTCACTCACTCACTCACTCACTCACTCACTCACTCACTCACCTCTCTCTCTCTCTCTCTCTCTCTCTCTCTCCCTCTCTCTCTCACCCCAGTTGTTTAAATGTTTTTCTCTTCCTTTCTGACAATAACTTTGCTTTCCTGTCTCTTTATATTAACTAATTTAATAAATTAAATGTAAAAGAGAAATTAACATTTCAACAATAATTTGGCCAATTTATTGACCAACATATCCAGTAAGATAATAAAAACCTCATTAAAACAATACACATTTACTTGTGATGCAACATTGTGCAAGATAAATAATAAAAACTTTTTGAAATATAAATTAGACCTTTATGGATATCAGACCCCAAAACGAAAGTTCTGCAGATATTAACAACATTAAATGTATTGTTTCAAAATATCAAAACATTAGGCTCAAAACTATAATGTGCTGTTATATGCCCATCAGATATATAATCATTTAATTCAACTTATAAACACTGAGATCTGAGTCTCAGCAATAGAACGTCAATTTCAATGGCATTTTTTTTACAGCTAAAGAAATTTTAATTTGACCAGTTACTATGGCTACTGTAGATATCTGATGGATTCAGTCAACACCCCAAACATGTATAACACAATGGATCAATGAATAATTTTGGTAGGTGACTGACCTTGATGTCTAATCTCACTCTCAAATCAGTCACACCTGATGTGACTAAGCTGTCATGAAAGGATAAGCAGTGGTAGAACGGTGGTAGATCTATGTTGAAGGATGAGACAATAGCCATGTTTCCACTGCAGGAACTTTCCCCATGAACTAGGGACTTTGGGGTGGTACTCGGTGTGTTTACACCGCAGGAACCAGGGTCTAAATTAAGTTCCGGGTAGAAATCCTGTATTCAGCTAAAACAATGCGCTTACAATGTCATGGGTTAAATTCCCTGGATAGCAAGAAGTGAAAATATGTAACTTGAATGCATGTGGTGGTATAGCACAAATCTTGAGCTGAAGCGGCTTGCACACACATTACACCTGTACTTTTGAAGTATCCTTTCTTTATTTAGGCTATGTTATTTTTAACACAGTCTCATCCCAAGACATCATACAACTGATGCTTTTGACCATACGTCAACATCCGCCATTTTAGGGTACCCTTTAACGTCAGTTAGATGACGATCCTGGGGCGTCATCCAACTGACGCTTTACCTTAAAAATCAGTTAGGTGACGAGGTAGGTTTAGGTCTAGGGTAGGGTTAGGATTAGATAACCTCATCTAACCGACGTTTAAAGGTATCCTAAAACGGCGGATGTTGATGTATGGTCAAAACCGTCAGTTGTATGACGTCTTGGGATGAGACTGCGCTGTTATTTTAAACAATAGAATAAAAAATACAATAAGTTTGTTGCAACATAGCGAAGTGAAAAAACAATATCTATAAAGTATTTGAAACAATAATTACAATATGTCTGAAAAGGAGTGGATGAAACAGATTAATTATTAATGTAAACATGGCATTTATGTCTTAAGTCTATGTAAACAGATGTGTTTTTTTTTGTTTTTTTTTAATCGGATGTGTCAAATATGTGCAGTGAAAATGCAGCCTAAAATAACTGCTGCTAAACAATAACTAGTAAATAACTAGATAATAACGTTAACTAAACCATATTAACAAGAAAAAGAGAAAACCCTCACTGCCCTTGGCGGATAACTTTAGATTTAAAAAGACATTTAGAACTGAGCATGTTAGACTTAATAAATTCACAGTAAAGCTATTTTACTGCCAACACAGTAATACATTTTCATTTCTGAAGAGATAATATTCTATTACTTTGAGAATAAGACAATGCTAATAATTTAATTAGTTTTATTTCTGATTACTTTCTTTTCAATGTATGTTTACTTAAAAATATGCTATTGTTAAATGCTGCTGTTAAGCTACTTAGGGAAAAAACAAGCATTGTTTACCTCATTTGTGTCTTTGTAATGTTGCTTGTAATTTGTCTTTATTTTTTACTGATTGTCTTAAATAACTATGTTTACTGGTCTTTTGGAAGGTTTAATGTTCCATTTGGTAACATCTGGTAACATCTGTGCTCACATGTGTTCAATAACATTAACTTTTCTGGTGGTTATGTTACTGAAATTGAAATCGAGACTTTTTTGGTACTCTGACTAAAGAGATCTCAAAAAAACGAGAGATACCGTGCTCTCTGTTGAAAGTGAATGGGGTCATGTAATTTTGATGTGCAGCTTGCAGCATGAACGGGGCTTAAGGATATATTTTATTGATCTTATTGTGAACAATTCATTTTCATTTTATTTACCTCATTATTTTTTCATCAAAATGTCTAAACTCTTCTGGTGAAACGTCAGACTTCTCTCTTGTGACTTGAACTTGCCCTTAATTGCAATAGACTGCAAGCTCACATTCTGTCTCCTTCTAATCAATAAGACTTTTTTTTTCCGATAATCCGCTTCATTCAGATGCATGTCACAATATGAAAGAAAAGATCTATCGCTACTTCCATTTCATCACTAATAATTTAATGACACTGTTAAATGTAATCTCAGGCCAATATATAAAAAAAAATAATACCCATTTTTTCATATTGTACAGCAGGATTGTTCACTAAAGGGTTCCTTGTTTCTGCAAAGAAAGTATTGTGACAATACACATTTTATAATTAAAGCTATTTAAATTCACACAAATATTACAGAAATTAAACAGAGTTTTTCTTACAATTTCAAAGAAAACGAAGGATTATCACAATTTTCAATGTCACTACCTCTAAATTTCACTAACCATTAATGTCAGCTACATCTAAAAAAATCACAGAAAAGGTTTAAATTTAACAAGCCATAGTCTTATACATAATGATCTGTTACTTGAGGCGGTTCCACACCAATGTAGCCTCAATTAAAATCTCAGCACGCTGTCAGCACCAATGGCCATGGTGCCTCTTCTAGGACAAGCATTTGTTTATCAAATCGCATGATAAAAATCTCCCCACTGCTCCATTCTCTATGACGACAAACATTTGCATTGTAAATATAACTCCAGAGGAGAGGAGGGGAAGAGAGAGATGGATTTCAGGCCATGCTCCTGAGGGCGAATATAAGAGAGACATGCTTTCGCCTTACAGTACATGAGCATATCAGTGCTGAGATCACATAATAGTCCCTGAGAAACTTTATCTTTCCAGCCCAGAGAGCAAAATAAAAAAGGTAGAAGGTTAGAAAAGAATAAATGATAGAAATCTGAAGACATCTGTTTGTCTTGTGCTTAATGGTAGCTGTAGAGTATTTATGGCTGTATTACCTGAAATTCAATGCCATAGTTCTCCCTGCAGAAGTCTCGTAGTTTGGGATAGACATGTTCTTTCAGAGCATTTCTCTCTGCTTCTGTATCTGGAACAACAAACAAAACAAAAACAAACATGAATATTCAGAAAGGGAAAACAATCAGCTGTCAGTATTCAAATATATTTGTTTGTAAGTCTTAGGCCCCGTCTACACTACTGCGTTTTCGTAGTGTAAAACGGAGAATTAAAACGAATACGATCTCCGTTCACACCAGCGTTTTATCTGCATATCAGCATTGATCTCCATCCACATTAAAACGACTGAAAACGTGGATCACGCGACCGTTCACCAACACTGAACATGCGAGTGCTGGTGTAGCCAGTGGCTGACGAATCAGGGAAGGATATGCCATGACTGATGACACCCAATCATAGAGCCGAGCGTGAGCCACTGTGTCTGCATTTCCAAAGTCCTCCGTTTTGTTCCGTCTTCACTAAAACGCCCTCCGGAGATTCAAAATGCAAAAACGGAGCTGCAGCGTTTCTTAACTTCTCCATTTTAGGTCTTCGTTTTTTCCGTTTTAGTCTGGACGGTAGGTGCAAAGGTAGCAAAAGGTCTCCGTTTTTAAATGAAAATGCAGTAGTGTGGACGGGGCTTTAGGGCCAGACTTAGACCCTGTTTACACGAGAACGATTCCGGGTGAAAACTTAAAAATATTTGATTGGATGTGCCTTTCTTTTACATGGCGACGGCGTTTTGGGGGATTAAAAACACAAAAAAGTGAAACCACACTCCAGAGTGGAAATCTTAAAAACGCTCCACGCCTCGTTCCCGTGTAAAGGGTAAAAACGCAAAAGTCTGCTTGACAGTGAAGGTTGTACGCAGGCGCGCGGACTTGGTGTTGTTGTGTGGCAGTGCCACATCGCCACCTAGGTGCCTGGAGTGTATACTACATTGAATTTCACACACTTTTACGTTACCATATGCACGTGGATTTCCCACCCAAAACGCTCGTCTAAACGAAGAATAAAACGTGATAACACAACGCCACTTTTGCGTTTTCTCTTCAGTATTGTTTCCGTGTAAACATAGCCTTACTAACAGATTACTTACTTACAAACCCTCTTTTGCCGTTAAAAAACTACTGTCAGGATTTACTAAAGACACGCAGTGAAAAATTAACTCTGAAAAGACGTGGACAGGGTTGTTTTTGAAGCTGACCTTACTGCATATGCATTTGTGGGAGTTTCCCTTTCAGACACAAATTTATGGGAGGAGAGTATTTAAATGTACTAATGTTTGCGCTCGTCAGTGTACTGATGTTTGCGCCATTATTTACCACCCCAAAAAAGTACGTCTTAAACCAGACTCTACCTGGTAGATTGCATTGGTCATTATGGAAATGATCTGACTGCGTGCAATTACAAAATGTGTGTCAGTGTCAGTAACAAGGTGATGGTCTTTGATATTGAACATACAATATGCAAGAATTTTGTAATAAAATATCCCAAAATCACTTGCAGAGTGTGATGTTTCCTGCAGTTGTTTACCTACAATATCCCAAAAGTCTCCAATTTTAAAAAAGTAGCTAAGCCGTCCCGGAAAAAAATGTCACCCGCAATGATGCAATATCGGCGCTATCTTCGGTTTCCGTTCATACTGCCATAGCCATGATGTAACCATGGCAAACAGAGCATGGCAAGCTGACTTAGGGACGAACAAGGAGATCTAAAATGAGGATCAATATCAGCGTGGCGTTTTTGAAATGCCGAGAACTCCATGTCCACGACTAACTTGGACTTGACAGAGCTTCACGAGTCACAACTTGACAGGTTCATTAGACAAGTAGCAAATGTGCATAAAACAAATCAATCTTACTGTATATAACATTAGCTCAACATGATGAAATGTTAGAATATGGTCAGTATGTTATTCTAATGTTGATCTAGTGTACCGCTAGTTTCGTATAGCAAACAAACTAACACTAACATTTTAACTTTCAAAACACATTTCAATGCTGTTGATAGTGTAACGGTAGATCAGGTTAAGCAGCGCTGCGTTACCTCACAAGTTTAATTAGTCTAAGAAACTGACCTGTGTGAGTAATCCAACACTTGCGGGTAGTTCGGTTGAATTAAATGTCCTTATTCCATTATATCCGCGGGTCTCGCGTTTGCTATCTGTCTCTTTAGCAATGGCGACCTGCTTCATACCACCGTAACGTTAAAAAACATGAATGTTTGCACTCATTCATAAACATTATTAGATCCATTAGCTTGACAGAAAGTCCCATCATTCAGCTTTTCACTGCGTCATAAACCTACGCCTTTGTTTTTGTTATTGTTTTTTAGTCTCTGTTTATTTTTATTTATTTTTTTACTTTTCATCTAATATTTATATTTTATTTCAGCATTTTTTAAATTAATTTTCAAGTTATTGCTTCATTTTTAGTTAACATTAACAACACTGTTAATGATTGATTACTGTAGTCATGTACCGTAGTATTTCCATAGTACTTCAAACTATTCTATGGTGTTTTTTGTCCAAAATACCACTGCAGTTCTTTCCCTCTCAGATAATTTCCATCATATGCATGAATGCTTATGGGCAAATCACATTCCACAAACACTTCCAAACATTGCTCGTTTAGTCCCTGTCTTTTGCAGTCACTTCAACACTGGTCTTTTCTCAGGGGAAAGCTGCCAGCAAGGCTTGAAAACAGAGATTCCCCGGCTTACACTGTAGTGACTACTGTTCTCTGCTGCTAGTAGCAGAGCAAAAACAAACATGACGTCTGTGATCACATAGACAATCTGAGATTCAAAACCTGGAAATGAACAGAAAGTTGCAGGATTTTTAAATTGTTCATGATCTTTCTGTTCACGAGATGACATAAAACAAAGAAGTATTCAAATCAAATTGGTAAATTAGAGACATTGATGTCAAGATGTCATGTCCTCACTTAGTTCTACCGTTCTACAATCTTCTACCATTGAAGATCATCTCAAATCATGCTGGAGAACCTGATGATCAGGTATGATAAACAAATTTGTACAGTTCATGCAGCCTGACTGTCATTGTAGCAACATTATTAAAAGTCATTAAATTATTCAATTATTAATGAATTTGGAGTGAAAAAAAGTGTTACATAATACAAACGCAAAATAGCAGAATTTCCTCTAATGCCTTCAGAATCTTGCACACAGCTGTAGTGTATGTCGTTGAATATTACATGATGCCCTTTGTCACAGAAAATCAGGGCAACATGAGACAATATGAGAGTTGACACATTGAGGATACTCAGCCTTACTGTATTTACTACTGTACACAGCAGCTAGTACCAAGGCAAAATTAAACAAACACTCTCAAACACCCTCGGTACCCTATTCACAAACCAATTAAATCTGCAATTACAAACCTTTGACACCTAAAATAGTCTAATATGAATATGAAATTTGCTTTGCTAAGACGACAGTCTGATTCCAAGGTCGCATAATACAGATGAAACTCGAAAAATGTGAATATGGTGCAAAAGTTACTTTACTGTATTTCAGTAATTCAACTTAAAAGGTGAAAATAATTTATTATATAGACTCATTACATGCAAAGTGAGATATTTAAGATTTTTTTGTTATAATTTCGATGATTATGCTTATGAAAACCCCAAATTCAAAATTAGTATATTGTTAAAAGGTTTGTAAGCCATAATCATCGAAATTGTAACAAATATGTCATGAGTACGCAGATAGACAAACCCAAAAGCAGACTGAATACTCTACACACAATTTATTGAAGACAAAACAGAGAAAACAAAACCCACAAGGGGGCAAAAAAGAACTCAAGGGCAGTATTCCAAGACTTAGACAATAAAGTAAACTAGGACTGGATTCAAACTTTATGACTAAGAAAAGAAAACAAACAGATACACAAACCACAATTCATATCACAAGATTTAGACTAAATACTCACAGATCGCAAGACACAATGTTTGACAATGAACCAACACAAGACAGCAAACACAAGGGGATTAAATAGGGAGAAACTAATGAGGGGAACAGGTGACACAGACTAGGTAATGATGACAAGACGAGGATAACAAGACAACACAAGCACATAGCCTACACAAAACATGGTTCTGCCATGATCCTGACACAAGACTAGTAAAATCAACAACATGATGGCAGAATCATGACAAAAAAAAGTGAAACGTTTCACCTAGATGATGCTTACTTAGTCAAACATATCATTTTGCATCTTTCTTTCCCTTTCCACATTCTCTATGCCATTCTTGGTCTGCTAAGCTTTGATTTACCTTGGAATGAGAACAAAAGGTAACTGAACTTGATTCTGAAGCATGGTTTTCTCTTCTACTTGACAGTATCAGTTTGCTATTGTTTAGGCTCTCTGCTGATAGTTGATATTTCGACTGAGAACGGGAAAATCAGACTGGAGAGCTCTCTGTGGAAGATGAGGCCAATCATGTGCTCTGAAACCTCTGGCTACAGGCAGCCAACACAGCGTGTCACAGCTCACCACAGCAGCTCTATCTGTGTCAGCCAAGTCAAGATTATTGGTGAGTTCAACAGCTTGTGCGGCTTTCATGTTTTTAATCTTTTATAACTTTCCATTCAGTTCTTTTTTGGGCTGTCCTATAAAGTATCTAGTCTCAGCCTTTTACTTTTCTCTTTCACTATGTTTTCCTGTGCAATTTTGTTGTTCTTTTCCAATAATAAATGCTGTGGAATAAACTTTTCATACTTCATATATATATATATATATATCTTTCTATGCTTTCATCTTCTCTTCACCCTTACAAAAACAAAAACCTGACTATCCAAGCAAGCAAAGAACTTAAAAACATGTGGTCATCACTCTAAAAAATGCTGGGTTGTTTCAACCAGGGGCGTAGCCAATATTGGGCCAGGGCGGCACAGGCCCGCCCACGTTACTCACAGGCCCGCCCAGGCAAGTTTGATAAAAAATACATTTTTAGTTTATTTTTATTATTCAAATGATGTATTTAAGAAAATATATTAATATATACCTGATTTTTTAGTTGACTGCTGTGTGTGTTTAATTCGTTTCCCAAATAAAATGGAACTGTC